TTTATATAAAGCTTATGGTAATATGTAATATGTACTATAATGTATACAGGGTGTTTCAGTAAAGCGTAGTGAGCTATACAGATTCGGATTCTACATGCAAAAATTAGTAGAAAATGTAGAATAACTTTTTTTGTATTTCGGCTTAGTTTAGCCGTAATCCACCATTTTGTATTTTTTTATAATTATTAACTCAAAATCCCTTGGAGACATTTTTATGAAACTTGGTATGAACTTTAAGTCTACAGGTATAAACATTGTCTGAAAATATCTTTGATTAGGCTCATCAAATTTTCAAAATGGCGGTCATTTAAAATTTTGTTTCAATGGCTGGTTTTCATGGAATTTAACTTTAAAAACTTTTAATGGCCGCCATTTTGGAATTGGATGAGCCTGATCAAATATATTTTTGGATAACGTTTATACCTGTACACTTATAGTTTATTCCAAGTTTTATAAAAATATCTCCAAGGGCTTTTGAGATATTAATTATTTTCAAAAAAATAAAAAATGGCGGATTACGGCTAAACTAAGCTGAAATCGGAAAAAAGTTATTCTACATTTTCGACTTATTTTTGCATGTAGAATCTGATTCTGCATAGCCCGTTATGCTTTACTGAAACACCCTGACCCTGTATACTACTATAAAGCTGAAATAGACTTTCCCCCAATTTTATGCCTTTGGATTAGTTAATGGAGTACGATTGGTTGTGTTATAGGTATGTCTGAAAAAAGTGTAAAGTTAGAAGTAATTACTGGAGTAGGCAAAGAGGACATATTTTTCATGCCGAAATTAAGCTAATATCTACATATCCTAATATGCCTTTTTAGTTTACAAGGACTCAATTCCCATCGCGATTACCTTTCGCTATTACTATAAATAAAGCGCAAAGGCCAAACCTTCACAAAAGTTGGCATTTATTTGAAAAACCAGTGTTTACCCATGGTAAACTTTATTTTGCTTTTAGCCTGGTAAAGCGGCCAGATGATGTTAAAATAGTACTAGAACCAAATAAAGAACAAGGAATCGACCAAAATGGATACTATACAACAAATGTTGTTTTCAGAGAGATTTTGTTATAGAATGAGCATTTCAAAATTTGGAGGATCACATTATCTCTATGTGTTTTATCTAATACAAACTTCCTCTTTTAGCGAATTTCCCTATAGGGAAGTAGCTATTACCGTAGGTGGCACGGTAATACCTAGACCCGGGACCGATTTACTTTTTCATTTTGATGTCTCCAGAGGCCAAAAACACCATTCGTTCAAATTTTTATATATGTATATATATATTATAGATTTTTATATATATATATATTAAATATTTAAGTAAATAAGTACAACTGAGCACCCTAAATACTATATTTTATAAAAAGAAGTGACATGTTTCGGACATTAGTCCATTTTCAAACTTCAAAATACATTAAACACTTAACCATTGTTTATATTGTTTGTTTGTAAATAAATATGATTTATATATACAGTAATAATATTTAATATATCAGCAGCCCTAATAAGTGAACACCTAAATTAAAATATATATATATATATATGTACAGGGTGAGTTTTAATTGTCCCCCCCCCCAACTTTTTTCTACATTTTATCAAATATCAATCCCAGACCACTTCCAAACATTTTTGGGTAGTAAGTACTTCATTTTGACAAGGTGGTCATTTCCGGCCGCCATCTTGGATCCACCATATTGGATGCAAATTTTTTTTTTCAAATGTAAAGGTGGGGTTGTGACCCATTATTTCGAACTACATTTTTATCCTGATTACAATGCCGCAAACCGTTTTTAAAAATCTTGATTCATTCTAAAGTTACGAGGGCATTTTAAAACTTTATTTTTAGCCCATTTTAACATTGTGCATTTACAAACTAAGACCATAATCCCAAAATAGTGCTAGATAATGATAAGTATACACTACCAGTAATTGTCCACCTATTTTCACTTGGTTATGACTGATGTATTTTTTTCGGCCGCCATCTTGGATCCGCCATTTTGAAATGTGATAAATTATTTTAAATATGAAGGGGGTGTTGTGACCCATTATTTCGAACTACTTTTTTAAGCTGAACTTAATTCCATAATCCGTTTTCCATTTTCATTTTTTGATTTTGAAATATTGACATTTTTAACAAAAAGGTTTCAATATTTCATAAATAAAACTTGATAACAAAAAATAGATTGCGGCATTGAGTTTAGCTTAAAAAAGTAGTTCAAAATGATGGGTCACAACACCACCTTAATATTTAAAATAATTTATCACATTTCAAAATGGCGGATCCAAGATGGCGGCCGAAAAAAATACATCAGGCATAACCAAGTGAAAATAGGTGGACAATTACTGGTAGTGTATACTTATCATTATCTAGCACTATTTTGGGATTATGGTCTTAGTTTGTAAATGAACAATGTTAAAATGGGCTAAAAATAAAGTTTTAAAAAGCCCTCGTAACTTTTGAATGAATCAAGATTTTTAAAAACGGTTTGCGGCATTGTAATCAGGGTAAAAATGTAGTTCGAAATAATGGGTATCAACCCCACCTTTACATTTGAAAAAAAAATTTGCATCCAATATGGCGGATCCAAGATGGCGACCGGAAATGACCACCTTGTCAAAATGAAGTACTTACTACCCAACAATGTTTGGAAGTAGTCTGGGATTGATATTTGAAAAAATGTAGAAAAAAGTTGGGGGGGGGGACAATTAAAACTCACCCTGTATATACGTCCGTGAACGCGATAACTTGAGTAATTTTTGTCCGATATTGGTGAAATTTGGTTTAAAGGTGTAAAGCGGGATAAACTTGAATGAGTTCGCGAACCAGCATGATCGGACCATGGGAACGGGGCTTTACGGGGGGTTTTATGGGGTAAAAATTGGTTTTTCTCACTGACCCTCAAAACACAAAATTTCCCAATTTCTCTTTAGTCCTTTTTAAAGAGCTATAAAAAAAAAATAATTTAGTATATAAAAGTATTTTTGTTCGGTTATTAGTAACGGAGAAAATTAAAAAAATTGTAAATTTAAAATTCCTATGTTATTCTTATGGAGAATATTGTCAAATGTTGTAGTTTGCTTGTTTATGGATATATTTTGATCAAACTTGGCAAATTTATTTATTTTGTACTAAGCTATCAATATTTTACTAAAAACCACACTTTATTAGTTTCCTTGTAGCAGCAAACCTAGGTACTCGTTAAACCTAATGTTATATATATATTTAATTGAAAATCAATTCAGACAAATGGAAATTCGCTTAGTCGGCAGGTTTGCTGCGGCGGGGGTATTATAAATATAGATTCAAAGAAATGTAGGCCTATATATATTTAATTAATAGTCATGAAGATTATTATTAAAAAATGTTCCTTAGTTGTATTATGATTAGAAAGTTTATATTATAAATAAACACACCACATGAACAGTTCTTTGGATTTTTTTTAAACAGAGCAGATATCAAAATGCATTATTCAGGAATGTAATTACTATTACCTAAACATATTATAAAATACAAAAATGTTGAACGATAATTCAAGGTAGGGTAACCCGTGTGACTTATAATTTGTACAAAATAATTACTAGAATATATAGGCCTATATAAGGGCTATTGCCCCTACAAGCCACTAGTCTTATTCTAAAATAGTTGTTAATATTAAAACTGTAGTAGCAGTTACCCAGCGCGCGTTGCTGCACTTAACTACTATTAATTTAAATGATAATCTTTTTATTATGATAAATAACAACAATAGGGATACTAATTGACAATAACTAAATATGTTATTATTTTTACTTTGTGTGAAAATCATACATTTCCTAAAATTAAACCTGTGATACTCAGGGATGCCATTGTGCCTTATTAATCGTAATAAAAAAACAAAAACCAAAGGAAATTGTAGTCACATAAAATTCAAAGGGTGGTTCAGATTAAATCATCGGTATTCTTTGGATTGGATTAAGATTATATCTCCTTTGAACGTACCACTGATGATTTTTTCTTCGGTCAAGATTCGTTTCATTTTTTTATACGTCAGTCTGGTTCCACTATCAGACATTAAATGCGCCTCGAGCCTGCAGATTGGTTAACACAACACCCATCACTTTTGGAGCGAACGATCTTGGAGTGAATGCAACAGTTTACTATGATTACATATTTTAATAATACTGCTCGTTCACTCCAATGTGCATTCGATCCAATGTACAGTACACTTTAAAATTTGTATTTTCCACAGGCCCGTCTACTTCTGGAGCTGACTGTACCCTTTGGATCGAATGAACATTGGATTGAACGAACAGGCAAATAAATTTTAAAAATACTTCTTGGAGTGAATGATCTTGGAGTGAATGCAAAAGACCCAGGAAGGGTAGCACTGAATTAGACCTTCATGTTTCATTGTCATCTCAATATTAAAAATCTATATGTTTAATTCAAGGTTCTACCTCTCTCTCTCTCAAGAGGCAGTTGAAGGCATGAAATTAACTTTCAGATGCATTACCAGATGTTGTAAAGGTGTTTACCTAACCCACCATGTTAAACTTCCCTATCCCAAGCGTGATGTATACAACTTCTTTACTTCACGAGTGAAGTGAAGTTTCAAAAACTCACTCGGTGAAGTAATGAAACCCATTTAAATAACATTGAGTGCTCAACTTATATTGTACCTCTATGGGGCCAACGACGTTCTACGCTAGAAATCAGCTGTGGGCTTGAATTTTATTGTTATGCTTTAAAGAAATTTCCTAACCTAGCTATTGTTTGTAAAAGAACGTTACTGTTAGAAGATGAGTGAAATGGATAATGAAAAATATTGTACATAACCCCCTGTATATTGTCGGGTCAGGTAAAATCTTGTACGTTACACGTTACGCAAGAGCGTGTTTACATCACTTAGGTGACTTATGCAACTCGCTTCCCCTCGTTGCACAACATTCATCTGCGTGATGTAAAAACGCCCTTACTACACTTGTAATGTAAATAGCTATTTTCAACTTACAATTTCTTTGTAGTTCTTCCCTCTTCACTATTGGAATTCACTATTGCTCCATCTTCTATTGGAATTGCAGCTACTGGAATTGCAGCTGATGTTTCCTAAAACAGATTTATACGTGTAGTTCACTAATAACCAGTAAAATACCTTCAGAGGTTGTAAGGATGCATTTTGTAATAATGCTTTCTATTGTAAAAAAAAACTCTTTAAAGCTACAAACCATAATTCATGGTCTCAACTTACCTAGTATGATGACAAGCTGTGAATTTGTTAATGTTTCATAGGTATTCTTGGGAAAGTGCTCTCCTACTCACTGTTGAATTTGTTTTTTATGGGAAGAGCAGGCTTACTTGCACAGTGGGTGAGTCTCCTGTATTAGGAAATTTGACTCATATGAAATTGAAATATTTAGCTTGTGTTTCATGATCACTAGCCACTTTGTCAATCCTCTTACAAATTTCAACTTATTCATTGTCATCCTATTGAGAAGACTCACCCTCTGAACAAGTTAGCCTGCTCTTCCTATTAAAAACTAAATTAAAATTAATACTGCTTTAGTTATAGTTATCGAGCATTGGCTTAATGGCATGTAAAAGTTATTAAGCAAAATTCAGTTGCTATACTAAAACTTAAGCTGAAACCTTTAGCCCTAAACAAATTAGTAGAAGCAAAAAATTTCAGTTCAATTTTGTGACTTAAATTCACTGTTTCACTCTTTCAGCAAAGATTTATTATTGTACAGTACAATATTTCACGAGAAAATCTTCTAAAAATATACTTTACTTAAACGTATTACGGACTATCTAATCTTACACCAATTTTAGCTGCGTCTGAAGCACTAAGTTTGATTGTAGCCGAGTCTAGGTCCGTCAGTTTGAGAAGTTCCATGAGCACCTTTTGGAGCAGGTTGAAGTTGACAGCACCAACCTGTACACATACATGTAGTCAGACAACCCTAGTATAATTACCAAAATACATCTTTTCGTGTAAACAATTTGAGTCCTGTAAGATTATATAAACTACTGCTCTGTACTTTGATGAAAGTATATTTTTACCATTTGGTTTTGTATGTAATTTTAAATGGAGGCTGCAATTTATTATGTATAATTAAATATGAAATTATTGTTGACGTGCTTGTTAACAGTGTATCTTTACGAAGCATGTAAAGGGTACTGATGTTAATTGTACACTCCCAATGATTTGTCACTTTTAAAGATAGATTGAAAGGCTAGAGAATGATTTGAAAGAAAAAATAACTAATTACACACAGAGAGGTTGTAAATACTTATAGAGGTATTTGGCAATATCACGCAAGAACTGGAAGTATTGTTAATATTGTGCTCACCTGGAGATAGAAGTTGCATTTTATAATAATTTATAGGTTATAGTGACTTCATCCACTGGTAGTACATATGTTGTACAGCAACAACATTACTTACAAAGTTTTGTTTTGGACAACTGTCTTGGGCTACGTTTCCTATTTCACAATTTTTTGTAAAACTCACCTCAGGACTACCAATAGCCAGATTAAGTAATTGTATCATCTGGAATTCAACTTCTTCTGCCATTTTGATGGTAAATAAGTCTTAACGCCGAAAATTTAAAAACCTTTCTGGTATTCTTATATTCGCTCAATACATAAAACGTTCATAAACCAGTAGATTGCTTTAAAAGTAATGAAACTATGACTATGTAAATTTATATTTGTGTAAGGTTATATTTTGAAGTTGTTTACAAAATATCACAAGATTGAAATGGAACTTGAAGATTCATGCACTAAAACTTTAATTGTCAGCTGATATAGAACACAAAACAACTAACTAGTATGGTAAGATTTAGAGAGCTCCTCTTATCTATCTATATATATAAATAAAATTAGAGTTTTGTCTGTACATTGCTTAGAATAATGAACTTTTTGGTTATTTTTACATTTCATAGGTCAGAGAAACCGAATCAAACCTTATCTCAATTTCTGTCTGTCTGTCTGTCTGTCTGTCTGTCTGTCTATCTGTCATTCTCTTGGTAACGCTAAAATACGCACTTTATTACAACTACTCCTCAATAACTATAGCACTGTCCCGCCTGAAACTTATTTTCCAAATACTATACATATATGAGATGGTTTTAGACGTATTTCATCGAATATGAGACAGTTAGATATTTAACAGTAAACCCTTGAAAATCAAGTTTTTGTCGATTTTTGACGTGGAATTTCTGGAAGCCCATGTTAACCTTATGAGAAATGAAATTATTGAATCTTAACAGCTGTTTCAATTAAACAAGTTGGTTCTGTTCTGTGATGTTCAATAGCATTAAAGTTACAAGGATTACCAACAGGGTGCAGCACTAGCACTATTATTTCTTTTACATTTATGACAACAGCTAATTTGCAACCTGGAGGCGAGTGAGCGTAGCGAACGAGCTAACCTGAAGGCAAGTGAGCGTAGCGAACGAGCTAACCTGAAGGAAAGTGAGCGCAGCGAACGAGCTCCAACATACAGGTGAGTGAGCGTAGCGAACGAACTTCAACCAGGACGTGATTGAGCCATGCAAACGAGATCAGATAGTAAAAATAAAAGTAAGCCTACCGTTATAGGATCGACCGGCAGACACAGAGGTAATTTAACCTTTTATTGATTGTCATACCGATCCGGAACAACAAAAAACAACATAAAATGAAGCTATGTATAATAGTTTGGCCAGCATATCTTAAAATATGCAAACCAACTGCTGTTCGTTATATAAGAAGGTTTCAACTGAATATTATAAGATCCCCGTGCGTAGAACGGGTACACAGCTAGTTGCAACTACAAGGGTTTGTTATACATGAAGGTTGACTTAGGTAAGAATTTGTTTTGTAGTAGCACTTTTTATTTTACCTACAGCTTCACAGTAATAAGGGGTCTCAATCCCGGAATCCCACTTGGTTTTTATTCCTAGAAACCCTAGGATTAGCATTTTTAATCCCAGGATTAACAGGATTACTAACAGAACCTATATTTATTTTTTTTTTAGTTAGATGAGTATTACCAATGAATACAAACCTTATAAGAAGCAAAATGCTTATAGAGAAAAGTCTGACTGGATTTTGCAGCCGAAATGAGCTTTGCACGGCCACCACTAGTTTAGCGCTAGCCTCTCCCCTCTCTCTCTGTGTATTCTTTGTTTCACTCACACTATAGTGGCAGTCCCATTGCCCCCGCCGCGGAAACTTGCCAAAATTCAAAAATCCCAGGTTGACTTTCAAGCATTTCGCTTCTTATAAGGTTTGTATTAATTGGTTTACAGGTATAAAGTCAATGGTTTTACTTATGGAAATTGATATGTTGTTACTGGGTACTAGTAATACACATTTACAAAGTTTCGTGACTTAGGGAGTTATTTCCAGGTAGAGGGGTATTTTTACCTAAAATGACTGGACTACAATGGTTTATTGACTCACTGGAGCTTAATCTATTTTTGACTTCATTTAAGTTCACTACTTTTAACTTCTTCTACAAACACAATTTAGGAATAACAAGTGTACACTACAAGTTTTTACATTTTTAACCAACAACTTTATTTGGTGTGTAACAACATTTTATAAATAATATAAATAAAGAGACATTATCACAGAAAGGTTGCAGAAAACTAAGTAAAATAGGCCTAACCCAATTAAAGCTCTTAATTCAGACTATGGCATTTCAAGACGAGTATATCATTTGTCACCTAAATAAACCCCAACTTCTTGAATAACCTTATGAGCTGTGGCACATCCAAACGCAAGACATTCTGTCAAGGATTTGCCTTGAATCAAAGCCAACAAAAACGCAGCAGCAAATGAGTCGCCCGCCCCTGTGGTGTCTTTTATAAGTGAAACGTCCAATGTCGGCACAGCAAACTCCATAATCTCCCCTTCTCCAAACACACAGTACACTGGTGCTTTCCCTCGAGTCATGACTAACACTTTATTCAGAACATTCACACCTTCCACCTTAAACTTATGACTAGGAATATTTTGTTTCTTTAGGAACAAAAATGTTTCCATGGCAAGATCCTTCAAAGTATCACAACTTAAGTTAATTATTTTTCCTAAAGCTTTGAACTCGGAATCATTCCCTATTACTATATCGGCTAGAGTGACTGTCGCTAACAATTTATCCGAGTGAGCTTCAGCTACATACGCGCCACTGATGTTGAACGCAACAATGACACCTTTAGATTTACATATTTTAATGACTTCGAGAGCAACTTCTAAGCTATGAGTGATAAAAAACCCTTCGATGTATACTATTAACACTTCATCTAGGATTTTGAGATTTTCGGTTGTCTCAAAGTCTTCCCTGCGATAGACTTCTGCTGCTCCGAGGTGAGCCACGAGGGATCGCTTATCTCCATGTATCAATGCGGCCACTTTTCCAGTAGAGTACGCAGGGTGTTTTGTATATCTGTAATTAAAGGAGAAATTCTTTTAGGGAGAAAAACAAGTGTTGTAATCTATTGATAGGGGTAAACTGTAAGAATTTGATTTGTACCGTATTGGATTAGGTATTCACTTAGAAATTAAAATGTAGTCTAGTTGATAAATGATTCTAACAAATAATGTGGGTCTTATGGGGCATGAAAGTGGTCATTTTGTCAAATCTGGCTGAACCATAGGCCTGACAACAACCATTTGGGCATTATCTAAGGCATAATTGCACAGTACAAACATAAATCCAGAACATAGATCCAGAATTGTTTAATTGTATTGTCGCTATGCCACTGGATCCTTGTAATGAAACATGTTAGTCCCAGTGTTTGATTTATAAAAAGTGAGAAGCCGGAACTGTAACCTATTTATAATGTGATTAGTACCAATATTTTTATCTTTCTGAAAGAGAGGTACCAGAACGCCATTCTACTGCGTTCAAATTATTAGAAATCGCACATACATTGAACAATTTGTTTCAGAGTTGACAAAAGCCAAATAATGATTGTCAGAATTTAATTTGGGCATTCATAATCTAGGAAGGTATCTGCACTAACCATAAGATCAAATCCTAAATAAATTAGAAGCCTATACACAATATTCATACCTAGCCCAAAATAATTCAGTGCATAAGGTTTATGAGACTTTGAATACCCTAAAAACAGTTATAAAGTGTAAGCTACCTACATAGAAAGAACAATTTTAATTTGCTATAAAGATAAAAGTGTCTCAAAAAACAGCAAGCGCAATTTCTTTGTGATCATCCAGGAATGCAAGTACAGGTAAGTTAATACATTGTGTTAAAATTATAAATTAGGCCTATTAGTAAAATTTGAGTTGTATGACAAACCTGGTTTCTACTCCACACTTTTTTACTTCTGATTCCAACAACCCGCCATCACTGTCATTTCCCAGGCCTCCAAAGAACACACAAAACTGAGGCTGTTTCACGAGAGCTTGAACGATTCTCAGGGTGTTCTGTACACACCCTCCAGGACTTTTCCTCACTTCATGGTTCTCCCTGAAGCAGTATATTAAAAGACTATAGCTTTAAATGGAGTGGCTAACAGTACCGCACACTGCCCCATCAATTGATGATGGAGACAAGGATGTTAAGGTGCGGGGCAGAGAGATGCTTACTCAGTACCTTCCCTCCATTCAAGAGATTTCTGAGGAAGCAGAAGCTGTCCACCGCTAATCAATATAAAGTTTTAAATATCAATTTTTTTTATAAAAGGGTTCTTTTTTGCTTTATGCTCTCCATCCAACAACTAACAACATGGGTAGGTATGGTTTGATCTCTTTAAAATGTAGTTCTCTTTTCTCCAACACCAATGTCAAACTGTCAGAGAGCTTCAGAAAGAACTTAGTATCCAACCCATCCCCTTTATCTTATCTAACGGCTTTGACTATTACAGTAGAGTCCAGCAAACTCTGCGTAATGTGGACTGGAAGGGTGCCGAGTTTGTGAAATGCCGGGTTATCGGGAACTAGGGTTACAAATAAAAACAATAACATTTTTAAGCCTTTTACCTGCCTTCTTACTTTATGTTTAGAAAACAAGTCAGTATTAAGTCATCAGATATATGGTACAACAAATCCTTTTTACGAGTTGCGAATAATTTGACTTGAGCTGGCTTGAGTCCATGTTGAATTTGGACTCAAAAAATCACTAATTTTCTGAGCCAGGTAATGGCCGAGTTATCCAGATTGCCGGTTATCGAGTGCCGAGTTTGCGGGACTCTACTGTAATACAACAACTAGACGTTTGCCCCATGTTAAAGATGTAGCCAGGTTTTTAATAAAATTTGTCTTAGTTGATGTGAGCCACCTACAGAACACACTGATCTAAATTACTGATTTCTGCCGATTACATGATGGTTTTTACCAAGTTAACGGTTAAAGCAATCAATAACTAAGATAGAGATCGGTTATCAAAGTACCAGAATCAAGAATGTTAACTTAATTTGGAATCTCCTTGTCACTAATTTTATTTAGGGAGGTATTCTAAACTTAAATAAAATCATTGTGTTGCATAAATCAGCCTCAAATATTGACTGTAAAAATGCCCATATCATCATCATCCATAGTGTAGCCAAGATTCCAATACATAGTAGTTACTCGATAGAAGAAATAGGCTAATAGACTTTAAGTCGTACACTCATTCGAATGAAAAATATCGATCGATATATCGATTGTTTCATTCGATAGGTTAAGGATAGGTTAGGATAAGGTTAGGTTAACCTTACCTAACTAAACAAACGATATATCGAATGAAACAATCGAGTAATCAATATTTTCGTTCGGATGAGTGTAGGACCTAAAGATATTTTCGTTCGGATGAGTGTAGGACCTAAAGTAAAGTGCAGCCTTTTACCTGTCCAGAAACTTCAACATTTCAGAAATATCATGTTCATTAACCTCACATTGCCCATCAGGTTTGAGGTTAAACTTTTCTAGAATTTCATCAGATTTAATCAATGCTGAAATATCAACTAGAGGATTACCAAAACCTGCAAATACATGCTTTTTATAAAATAAATCTTGGTTTAAATAATGCATGTTTTATCATTATTGTATATATAGGGAAATAGTTACAATTATTCACAACTAACCTAGCACACACAACACAATGAGTCAAACAAATAACAAATACAAAGCAGACGATGTGCAATAATAACAGTAGGAATAAAAAGAACAAAGAAAAGAAGTCGTGTAGCTGGTTTGACCAACCTAAGAAAACTATTTTATAAATAAAATAATGGTGTATTATTGTATATTAAATATGTTTACTTTTCGAAAAGTTCAAACTCAATTTTGATCAAAGTTTGAACCCTCCATATTTTATGTTAAGTAGATACACTAATTGTTTCCTCGAATAAACATGTTTTACAATATTCATTATTTCCGTTATTCATTCATCAAATTAATTCATATTAATTTGCATTTATAGAAGGTAAACAGTACATTACCCTAAACACCATCATAAATTTGTTTTTAAATAGAAAATAAAAAATTTAAAATTCCTTGAAGAGTAATAGTTTTAAGGACTTTCAAAAATAGCTTAATTTCCACCTCTGACCTGGAGAACTTTAAGTTGTGAAGTTGTCAACAGTAATTTAAACAACAATTTAGCTGAAAAATAACCTAGTAAAGTAAAAAGATTTACATGAAAGAAAATATTTGACCTTCCGAAATTTCGTCGTAAACTGCCCTGTATTTGTTTGAATAATTTTTCAATTTAGGCTTTGAATAATTTCCGTTATGTTGGTAATAGGGTAGTTGTCAGCTGAAGTAGCATTTTGGCGGGTTTTGAGAAACTAAAACTTTCTGTCTGCCTCGCCCCTCGCCTGCAGTCTGCAACTCTAGGTACATTCGACATTGTTTTTTTTTTCGTTTTTTACCATTTCACGTTGTCAAAACTCGAAATAGGTACCGTTCTTCTGTTATGTTATGTTGTTATGTCGTAAATTCTGATCTGAAGTGTTGTTTCTTATTTCGTTGTTTGTTGTTTGTTGATGCCGTTGACGAATTCTGCTTTTTTACTTTTTAGTTTACACCTTCAGTCTGAATTGTTCACATTCAAGTTAAGGTAGTTCGTGATAAAAATTGTTAGTTTTTTTGGAAGGGTAAACTTCATAATGATCAACTTGTACAGATACAAATCTCATTATTTTTCAATTGAAAATATTTTGGCCTCTCAAGAAAGGGTTCCTTGTAAATTTACAAAGAAGATTTTAAACATGGGTAAGTAGGTAGTTTATTAATATGATGTAGGTAAAACAATGTAGTTCTAGTGTGTAACTTATTTTGACTGTTCCTACAAACAGTCTATAGCCAATAAGTTAGCGTCTCAGATTTCACTGCAAGAGGAATGGATTTATATGATACCCAGCTCACCCACAAATCATATGGGCCTGGGTATTGACCGATTCCCTGAAAAGCGTAGACAGTGAAGCCTGGTTTACATGGGTCGAATACGGTGGGCAAGTCAGTGTGAGAATTGCCACTCGCTTGATGTAGACAGGTAGGTGAGTCGAGTAGGCCTATGGGTAACGGGCGAGTTGGTAAAAAGAGGTCAGTTGAGAGCAAGTCGAGTGGTTTAGTAGAAAAACAAGTTGCTCAGCCCAGTAATTACCCCCACCACCACAATTTACCCGCGAAACATCTGTTTACTGCTGAGTCCAGCGCTCCATCTGTTTACTGCTGTCAAGTGAGTCCAGCGACCAAAAAATTAAATTTATATTTTTTATTCTGGGGTTGCTGAGTGAGTCAGTATTTAGTTTTTAGTTCAAACTTCAGAGCTGCCCTACTCGCTCGACACTCAATGGTTCAGTTGAACTGTTTAACTGGAACAGTTGACCCTGTGTTCCGTGTTGAATTTTGCATTGTCTTAACTAACTGTGCGTGAATCTATTCATAAAATCCAGTTTTAAAAATCTTTTTAGCCTACAACTAAATATCTGAGGTTCTACTGGACCGATTTTATTAATCAATGGGTAGTAAGAAAGCTCACTCCCTAAACATATACCGTACGGTAGGCTATTCCACAAGAATTACGTATAAAACAGTGTTTTCACATTTTTTATTCGGAGGCAACTTTTGGCTGCATTTATTGAGTATTTCCAAGAAATGCATTATAGTAATTTGTAGCAAATTGTATTCTCTTTGACGTGCCATGAAACTCAAACAACATTTAACACGTAAGCTACGGTAACCGGAATGCCCTACACTACACCATAGAGAAGTAACAAAAATTACTTCTCTATGCCTACACTGTCCCTGTCAGAAATAGGGATGCGTGTGGACAGTCTAGTCAAGTATTCGGCGAGTTGAACAAATCAGCAACTGGGCCAAACAACTCGCCTGCTATACTCGACTTGTGTAGGCTAAACCAGGCTTGACAATTATTCAAATTCATTATTTTCAGCAAACTTGTCTGGCCGGATAGTTTACAGGGATGGGAAACCATTGCCTAGAACTGTCCCTAGTTTGACTATCTAGTCTTATATATAACGCCAAATGCTGAAAAAGTGTCTGGACATTTTTTTGCATAAAGAAGGACATTGCTTCCATTTTTATTGTATCAGTTATGTAGGCCTACTTTATTTGTCATTTGGAGGGGATTTGTACTTCTGCTCGAACAGAATATGGTTTAGGTTTTGAATTTTGTGTATTCAACACCATTGTGAGTCTATTTGAATTGTTGCTCTGACAGCTGCATACAAAAAAACCTGTCAGAATTCTCAGTCCTATCAACATATTACTAATAACTTAGCCTACTTTACTTTTGGTGGTTATATAAGTTATCATACAATGCTTTCATTGATAGAGTACCGGTAGCCTAATAAGCGAAAATATAACTTAGATCTATTAATATCTCTCCATGGGTGTCTTTGTTTTTAAAACACGATAGGTGACACAAGGAGTGTTTTCCGGGTAACTTACTTGTTGAAACACTAGACAAACAATGTAATTGTATGAGTTACATTACATCAATACAAAACAGTTTTAAACCGTGTATAATCAATGGAAATGTATATTAAATCAATAAAAACCTTACTTGACGTATTTATAAAAATATTTGGCAAACAAAAAGAACAATGTCATAGGTGACACACAGACCTACACTATGGGAATCTAGTGGCGGCCATGTAGCAAGAGTGGTGACACATGGAAGCGGTTCCGTGCTAAGCGCCTCTCAAGCTTCAACACTTTAATAGGGGTTCCGGTAGTACAGTAGCCTACAGGGGTGGGAGGAGGGTAAAATGATGTTTAATCGGCCCCAAGGAAGAGGCGTGTAAAGTTATTTGAGTATTTGATTTGTTTTACATATTTTTGTTGTGTTTGTGTGTAGGCCTATGTGTTTTCAATGTCAACAGATCTAGCCAAATGGGCTTAAAATTAGTGATCCAAAGGCTTCTTCACCAAGATGGATTCTATGTTACATTTTCAATACACCTAGTCAAACTAAGATGCAAAGAGCTTACACACAAGAAACTAGACTTATACAAGATTTACTCATTTCTACTCTAGTCCCATATTAGTTAAAGAAGCTACAAAATCTAACATACCGGTATGAATTTTTCAGGCCATCTAGATCCCAGTTCGGAGACTAAAGACATGGAGCAAGGAACATCACTAGAGTTGCCTTACTGGATTGTCAAAACGTTGTCCAACAGGGAAGTCAATGTTCTTGAAGTTGAACCTCCAAAAATATTTAAAGAAAACTATAGGTAAGAGTTAGTTATTGAATTAATCACCCTCTTCAGCAACTATATTTATTTAATGTACTAATGATTTTTTTTTATCTCTACAACACTATTTGAAGTTACCAGTAACAGTACCAATTTCAGGAACTTGAAACAATGTCAAATGCATCATCTGTGTATGCCTAATTGCCTAAGGATAAATACAAATCTTGAACAATTCTCGAATCTTGTATGGAAGGGTTGAAGGTTTCATTTAAGACCTGTTTTGAATTTGTTTTAAATTAATTGTTGACAAAACTATTAAAGCATTTGATTTCACAGGGACATCTTAAAGGCTGATGCAAATGTTGTGGATCTGCACAAAATGTGCAAGTTTTTCTACCAGTTCGGCAAACTGCTTTCCTATATCGAGACCTGGAATGGGAGAGAAATCCGCAATATGCTTGTGGAGGTAATCCGGTTAATGGTTAACCTGAGTATTTCATTTTATGCTGATGCAATTATGTTTAGTAGTGGACACACTTCAAATTGTTATCATGAGCTCTAACTTGGGCCTGAATAAGTATTTAGCTACCGTACGCAGTCATTAACTTATATCTGAAATTCATTGGAAATGTTGAACTTATTTTGTTCGTTTTGGGTTGATCTATTATCTATATTGGATGATGTTGGATACCTAACCTAACTCGACCATTTTACAATTAACACCACGCAGGCCTTCATCCTCTGTTGAATGTTTTTTTTTCCATTTTGATGTAAGACATCTCACCTATTTAAACTGTGTTCGACGTATCTTTCGGTAAATAGGTACCATACAATAAGAGTTTTACTTTATCAAGGGTATCTATAAAGTAAATATTCTTTTAACATAGTTCATTGCTGTAAAGATTTTCAAAACCTACAAATGTGGTAAATAACGGAACTCGACCTTCTTTGGCGCATTTATACTATTACTAAAATAAGGATGGGAACAGAAGTCGGCCGAATTCCTAGGAAAGGTTGTTTAAATCAACCAGATTCAAAATTCTGGAAGAATAAACTGACCTCTATTTTTGTCCTGCCAGAGGTTGGTTAACCTGAGTAGTCAGAATCGGGACATTTTTGAGATAATGTAATAAATAACATTTCTAATGGTTTTTTTTATGTTTATGAGGTATTGTTCCACAATGTGTCTGTAGGCTACAAACCAAAAATTCATATCCTTTTTTTTAGTTATAATGTAAAGTTATCTGTAAAATTATCACACTCCAACTGATCTAATTCATCCCTTTCTCTTAAGGGGGTTCCCTACCTCTGACTGTTTTCAATTTTCTGCGACCCTGGTGAGTTTAGTTGGAACTACAAGACGACAAAATATTCCCTAGGATTGCTGTCTGCTGGTCGTGTCACCGCCAGGACGCCTCCGCAGTGGAAGTAGGCCCATCCTAGTAAACCCGCCCCAGCAGTGCACTCACTTTCACTTTCTTGGCTATATTTATTTATACTGCTTAGCTGGTTTATAATAATTAAGATAATGTTATTATGTGTCATGGATAAATCTTGGGGGAAATATTATGAATGATAAAGAATGTGTGAAATTTGTATCCCTCCGCGAGACAGTAGTTTCGATAAAGGCCGCTAGAGTCCGTCAGAATCATAGCACTTTTCGCCGTGCAAGGTTTTACGCGGTTTCATTTTGCACATACAAAAATTAATCTTTTCTTGAAACTAAAAGTGACTTGATATTTTTAGTTAAATTTTGCACTAATATTGCTTTATTAAAAATCGATAATTTCATAAAAAGATATTATTATTCAACTGTAAAGTTCACTAACTTTGACAAGTCGTTGCCCTTGATTGCGTAAGCATAGACATTTTTTTAAAAGCAAACTTAGTAGAACCACTCTTTATATACAAAATGGTGTATGGTTCATACTTTAAATGTTTAAACTGGAATCGCTATATGATACCGCGCGAAGCGGTTTTCTAACGTTTTTCGGCGAGGGTAGGGAACCCTCTTAACAATGACTTTCTAGTCTACGAAGTGAACACAAACCAGCAATGTACTGAGTGTGGTAAAAAGCAAGTTCCTCAATAGACTAAGATGTTTGTCTACAAACAAATCACAGGAGCTTGTTATCTTGTAAAGTGACTTGAATTATTTTAATGTAATTGACTGTGGTTTGTTGTGTTGCAGACTTTCCGCAACAGATTCCGTCAGTTGATGGACTGGGCTCAGAACATGTCAGCTGATCAACAAATCCTGGATACATTGGACCATCTTGAGAAACAGGTAATGCATTACAGCAAAACTGGTTTAACCCTGGATAACTACGTTTTACATTTACGTTTTTGACAATGTATTGAGTTAGTTGCCAATAATTTGCAATTTAATAACCATACTGTTTCCACACTCTTGAAATCGCTCTTAGGCATTCTTAGTATACATCTAGTCAGTGGTGCATTACAGTCACAAGGAGGGGGGGGGGGTCGAACCGGGGGGTCTGGGGGGTTTTGGGTACCCCCCGAAAAATTTGTATAAACTAAGTCTCCAAAATGGCAGTTTTACACCATTTCTTTGTCAAAAGTTAGTGTGACAAATTATTTGCCGCAATGTGTATGCACTACTGTACTGAGAAATACTCTTTGCAGCCATTTTATCAACTGCTAAAGAAGTATTGCTTATTGGCGACATGAACCAAATACCATATATAAACAGAGCAGAGAACCTAGAAGTTAAATACCACAACATTACAGAAATAGCCACAACAACAAAAATACTAAACACCACATACAGATGCACAAAGAGCACCACAGCCATCCTCTCAAAATTCTACAGCCAAGGAATGCAAACCACCAACCAGAGAGAGAAAGAACTGGCGACACAGCAGTACCAGGGACTAGAAAGCCTGAACCTCACTCTCAACAAAAATAAATACAAATGCTTGGTCTTCAAACAAGCTGAAAAAAGAGAACTAAACAAGCTAGGTTTCAACGCATCTACGATACATGAATTTCAAGGACGGCAAGCAGAAAACATAGCTGTCATACGAACATCTGCTAAAAGAGAAGAAATTTATGAATCGCAGCACCACTGCATCGTTGCTATCTCAAGGCACACACACTCATTCCTTTACATAACACCCAACAGTAATGATAAACTAGGCCGTTGGATACAACAAGCAAACTTGCTTAGCTCCCAGGAACTTTCGAAATACCACATCAACATTGAGAAAATCGCAGAACCACCCCTCCCAAAGTATAAAAACACACTACAAACTAACAAAAACCAAAGTTGCACACAAGAACCCCTAAACACTCCCACCTCCCAACATCACTTTTTAGAAGAACGCCCTCATCCCAGAGAAAAGCACAAAAACCAACTCAAAGATGTAACACATCCCCTCCGACACTCCGCACAGTAAAATTCCAAACACCTAATAGCCAACAAGGACTTAAAATTCTACACCAAAATTAGTTATCTAAAAAAAACTGATAGACTAGCACACTTCCTCCAAGATGAAGACCCGGACCTGATCATAATAACAGAGCACGGCGTAGCACAACAAAACTTGCAAAACACGTGGGTAGAAAATTACTCACTTATTGGAGGCTTCTCAAGGAAATCCCATGTCAAAGGAGGAGTGGTCGCTTATGTAAGAAGTGGCTGGGAAAAGCATGTATCACTCATATGCACAAGTAGCGAGGAAACAGAACTGATTTGCAAAACTGTGCTCTTTGAACTGAAGCTAAACAGGAATCCACTGCTGGTCCTCGGAGTATACAGGCCACCAAGTGCAAACCTAGACCAAGCCATCGATATACTCTCTGAACAACTGGAAACAGTGCTCACTACGGATAAGCAAATATTAATAATGGGAGACATCAATGTAAACAACCTAGTTGATGACAATGAAAACGAAAAAATTGAAGAACTCCTAACCTCCTTCAATATCTCAAGACTGAGGCTACCTCCCACTCGAATTACAAGTGACTCAGAAACATCAATAGACTGGATATGCTCAAACATTGATAATCAACAAATAGAAACCTCAGTTATAACATCAGGACTATCTGACCATACCGCACAAATCGCAAAAATCATCACTAGGAAACCGATCATCAACAACATCAAAGAAAATAAACGAATCTTCAACAAAACAACAATAGATAACTTTAAGACACAACTACAAGAACAAGACTGGGAAACTATAATACAAACTCATGACGTAGATGAAGCCTACAACAATTTCAGCAACATCATCCAGACAACACTAAACCACGCCTGCCCTCTTAAAACGTCAAGAGCTAAACAACATAAAAGGAGACAGTGCTGGAATCAAGAATCGGCTAGACTTAAAAATGAATATATAAAGGCCTTAGAAAAGGAGCAAACAACCGGACTTATGGAAGACAAAGCCAGAACTATTAAAAAAAAGGAGTACGACCAGCATTTGAAAATGCTTCGGAAAGAAAACAACACAGCTCACATAAACCAGGCTGAAAACAAGTCTAAAGCACTGTGGCAAACAATAAACCGAGAAAGGGAAGCGAGATCAAATACTGAAAACCAAATCCATCTTCAAGTCAACAATAAAACAATAGATGACCCAATAGAAGTTTCAAACTGTTTTAATGATTTTTTCTCATCAATAGCCAACCGAACACTCCAAAATAACAATAACTCTAGAACCAATGCCTTAACAGACCACTTACCAGCAACACATCACACACTCCAGTTCAGACGGGTCACACAAGAAGAAGTGCAAAAGGCCATTCAATCTCTAAAGATGAAAAATTCATCCGGAACTGATGAGGTATCAGCTAAACTTCTAAAAAACTGTAAAAATGAAATAGTAATACCCCTGACAGACCTCATAAATAAATCACTCTCACAAGTAAAATTCCCAGATAAATTGAAAATAGCTAAAGTCTACCCAAAATACAAAAATGGACAAACGGTAGAAAGAAACAGCTACAGGCCAATCTCCCTAATATCAACGTTTTCAAAAATAATCGAAAAGATAGTACTAGCCCAACTCCTACACCATCTTCAAGAACACAACCTTCTCAATAGTCAACAGCATGGATTCATCAAAGGCAGATCGACAGCCACAGCCTTAATACAACTGACGGAGCACATACTAGACCAACCAGAAGAAGGCAGCACTTCAACAAGCCTCTTCCTAGATTTTAGTAAAGCTTTCGACTGCCAAAACCACGAACTTCTTCTACTCAAGCTGGAAACACTAGGTGTGAGAGGAAGAGCAGCAGAATGGTTTAAAAGCTACATTAGTAACCGGAAACAGCTTGTGGAAATAGCCTACATAAAGAACAACACAAAGTATAAGGCCCAATCCAAATCTGTTGACGTGCAAAGAGGAGTACCCCAAGGATCAGTACTTGGCCCAGTCCTTTTCCTCCTTCTCACGAATGACCTACCTAGTTGGATTGGGGAAGATGGACACACCACCATGTACGTAGATGACACGGTTCTCACATTTGCGGACAAAACAATGGAAAATCTGGAAGAGAAAACCAACACACAACTCCAGAGAACAAAGCAATACCGTACCTCCAACGACCTAGTTCTAAACGAAAGCAAAACCGTTCAAATGACTTTCACCACCAAACGCAACAACACAGACATTACAATACCGGGACTACAAACACAAAATACCTAGGCATCATAATTGACTCCAAGCTATCATGGAAACCCCACATAGACCAGCTCTGCAAAAAGCTAAGTTCAAGTCTCTACGTTATACGTAGGATCAAGCAAGCTTGCAGCCCAGAAGTAGCCAAAGTTGCATATTTTGCTCTATTCGAGTCCCACCTCAGATATGGCATTGCGACTTGGGGTGGAACATCAAAAGGCAACCTGGAAAGAGTACTCCTAAAGCAAAAAAGAGCAATTAGATGCCTTGCCGACCTGAACTACTACAATTTCACTCTACATAAGAGAAGTCATTATCCACACCACTAAAACAGCCCAGCCAAGACACAGAGACATACACCAGCACAACACACGACATGCCGCCAATTTTTCCCTCCCACAACACCATCTGAGTCTGTACGAGAAGAAACCATCCTACAAAGGTGCTCTGTACTTTAACAACCTACCAGAGCACCTCAAGAGAGAACAACCCAATCTGCTCAAGAAGCACCTGACAACATGGCTTATGGACCGGCCGTTCTACTCTGAGGATGAATTCTTAAACAATAAGCTACCATGAAAAGAAGAAGAAAAAGATAAAAAAAAAATTCTAATTGTAATTGCAAATTACTGTAATAGTTTACGTACATACTGTACATTTTATGTACCTGACGCATGAATGTTCTCTAGGAATATTTCAATAAAGATTTTGTCTATTTATTGTCTATTATATATATATATATATATATATGTATGCCCGAGGAGACTGCATCTAGTTGCTTGATTGATTATTCTATAATCCAGCAATTCTGGAAGCTACAAAAATGAATAATTGTTTTTGTTCCGCAGGTGTTAACCCACGCTCGCGAAGCTCAAGCTAGACAAGACAGCTGGTTGGCCTGCGGAGTCAGTATGATCGTAGCAGCAGAAATGATCGTCAACCACAAGAAACGGAAACTGTCAGCTCTTGATCTACGATAGGTTAGATTTTAGAAAGCTTTTAAGTATTTGTAATTGAGTTTTAAAAAGAAGAAGTGTACAGTTTTTTTATGCTGAAATTATGAGCTTTAGTTAGGGTTGTACTAGTTTCAATTAAACATTGTTTGATCTATTGTAATACAAGAAGTCTGAGATGGGTCAGATTAAATGAAAAATCCAAATTTCTCTTGAACTAAACCAAATTTACTAAGGCAATAACCAGTGTTATGAGCATATACTGCCCATTGTAACTTTCCACGGTCACGATAAACTGGAAACATTTCTGCTCCTGTGTTAATTGTTGTAACCAGGTTTTAAATACAATATTCTGTGCTGCAGTAATGATTTTTTTTTAAATTTAACATACTTTTTCCTACAGTTACCTAACAATGTAATGTTCTCTCACTGATTTGAGAAAACAAAGTGGCCAATTCGCTCATCAGTAAAACAATGTTAACATTGTCTCACTCTAAAAATACTTTGTCTCACTCCAGATTTGCAACGTGAAGGCACGAAATAGTGAGCGCGTAACATGCAGACAAGGCCGTATGCGCGCGAAATACGTTGGCAGCACTGGCTGTAAATCAGCTGGTCAGCTATTGTACTGTTGTATCATTAAATGTCATATTAAAAGTTCACTTCTGTGTAAAAATATGTCACGTTTCTTTACCAATTCATTTGTTTTATGGTAACTGTAGGAAAAATATAATGTGCAACTCGAGTGCAAAGTGCAATTGCCTCACTCGAGAAACCATTCCTCACTCGCCTACGGCTCGTGAGTAAGTATTTCTCTTGATTGAGTCAATTGCTCCCTTTGCTCACTAGTTGCACAACTATTGGATAGTATTGGCCAGAATCTATGAGTTTTTAAAACTTAAGTATTTAAAAACCTGTATTAATATGGTAAAAAAGCATTGTATTTGTATGGATGTAGTCAAGTTATTTAAGAATTTTATGGTACATACATATATATTTTACTAGCAGAGTACCTGTCCTTCGTACGGGGCTTGCATATAAGTATAAAATGCTTATTGCAGTATGCAGTTATGGGACAGGACACGGTTTAAGAAAATTTGGTTCTTTTAATTTATACGGTAGGCTATAGTATAACACATCTACCATAGCCATAATGTTCTACCACTGCACCTAAACCGTAGGCTGAGTTTACAATTGAGGCACGCTTGGGCAAGTAAAATGGTGGCGCACGCTTGGCTAAGCTTGCCCTTTGAAACAAAATTGTAGCAGATTACTGGAAACCAGTGGCGTATTGTCCAGCCATGGTTACAGTGCTCGCCACTAGTAAGCGCACGCTGGGACAAGCTTGCGCCTCTCAAATCACGAAACAAATAAATTTGTTTTTGAAGCAAGCGTGCTTCAGTTTGAAGCAAGTTCACTGACAAAGTAGCATAGGTTGTGTATCTTAAAACTGTTGTTTTTTATACTTAAGTGTTGTTATAAGTTGTTCAATTGTTCAAAATGGATACAAAGGCGTTGATTTATACAGTTCTTCTTTTATAACTTTTTTATAGTTGCAGCAGTATCATTACTGAACGCTATTTGCAAATGAATTTTAACTTGTCAATCAAAATATATTGAATTTTCTTTTTCTATTAAAATAGACCTGTAATAATGCTATGATGAAGAAAAATTAAGCTTCTCTAGGCTTATTAAAATTATACTGTTTTATTCAGTATAGTTATGTTTTTTATAAAAATAATTATTTATACAAACATTACATCGACTCCTACAGTTTCTCGTTCCCCCCAACTTGTTTGGAGTCTAATATAATACAAATTTAACTCCATTTTCAAGCACAATGTCCGCATCATCTGACATCTCAATTTTGACTGATCTGTGATGTAGGCCTACTATGGCTACTGGGCGACTTCTTGTTCTTCGTTGCTCTGCTCTAGTATAACCACCACACCATCGGCAACTGTACGCTTGTGCAAGCATGCGCCACCATTTAACTTGCCCAAGCAAGCTTCCAATGTAAACACAGCCATATAAAAAAGTAAAGTTCTCCTTGTGTACCACAGCTTTTTGTTGCTAGTTGGTTAAAATTAGCAGTTGTCATAAATGCAAAAAAACTAATAGTGCTGCACCCTGTAGGTAAACCTTATAACTTTTTAATACTATTTAATATCATAGAACCAACATGTGCAGTTGAAACAACTGACAAAATTCTGTAATTCCTTTAAAATATGATTACTCATAAGGTTAACATGGGAAACTCCAGAGCCACTGGGGCGGAGCCTGAAAGGATTTTTGAGATAAGAATATGTCTATATGTTAATCGGGAATGTGAGCTTTCATTATACCAAATTTCAACCCTGTCGGTTTAGTATTTTTTGCGTTTACTTGTCACAAACATCCATCCGGTAGTATCGTAGGATTAAATTAAGTTTTTAAATGTTTGGAGTTTTACTTTTCAGGAATATTTGGTTTGTTAGTAGTTTGCTTTTTGTATGAAGCCTTTTTGTGTTTGCTCATTGTAACTCTTTTTCTTTCCTATTTTTTTTTTTTTTTTTTTTATTGTTGGCATGCAAGTAGATTTTTCATCCTACTAATTGCTGAGTCTGAAGCAATTATTGTGTGTTTGATATCAGGTAATATCTAGAATGTGTTTATGTCGACCAAGTGCTTTCTTTAAGGTATTTCTCACAATGTATGGTATACCCTACTCTGTCGGTGATAATACCTGGAGACAAGCAATAGTTTACAAATACTTTATACTTTTTTATACTTTTCAATGAAATGGCGACCACACAAAGTAGGTATTTTAATCCAAGTATGAATGGAGATAAGTGTATTATGAGTGGCGCGATCTTGTAGTCTTGTTAGTTACTAAGGCCGACTTATTCCTTAGACACAGCTGTTAATTAATAGCCCATACAGCTAATGGTAACTAAGGGACCTACAGTTTATAGTGGAATCCGAACCACATTTTTGCCTTGGTAAATACGAATTGGTCTAATTTTCAGGATAGTACTGCGGATAGTCGTAGTACTCACTCGTGCGGACATTAATCCACACCAGGGAGTATCACATCCACAGTGCATGCCTATAAATATCCACAATTCGTAACCTCTGTAATATTTCACTGGGTGAGTTTTTGAGCCGGACGTAAACACTTTTTACATCTGTCGATCAGAAAAATACCTGAAAATAAAATTGTCTTCTTGATTGATAAGAATGGCAAATCTACAGAAGAAAATATTTTAATTTTATAGTATGAGCCTTGTAATTCTCAACAGGCAATTTAAAAATATAAATATGCGAATTGTGAAGAAACTGATTGTCATTAAGTTGGTAAAATAGCAAAAAAAATGAGTAATCGTTTTTGTCAAAGACCCTACTAATTCGTGGTTTTATCTGAAGTTTTCCTAAAGCTATTTAAGTTTTCAAAGCTGTATGACCCATCATGAATTTATCGGTTGTACGTTTTCTTTGGTCTCAAAAGCTTGGTTGCTATCCAGTAACTCAAGTGTTATGAAACCGATACTTTTGTTTAAAAAACATTTATATGCATTATAATTTAAGAACAGATTATACTGATTAAATCACTGAAAATAAATAAATAACAAATTTAAAAATTTAATTGACTTGAAAATGTTTTTAAACACTCTCTTGCTAGGCTATGTTTAACTGTTTATAATTGCTGTGATAAAGTTATGTCCATTTAATAAAAGGAAATATTTTTATATATTAGCCTACTGTTATTATTTCCTGTTTAAGCTAATCTAAATGTTATACATAACAAATTTAAAAAAGTGTTGAATGGGATGTAAGAGAAAGGCAGCATAATTTCATATGCTATTACTCACCTAGTATATATGAAGGTAATGCAGATTGTCTGACAAAAACTTGTTCTAAATAAACAAAAATTCACATCCTATACTGATGAAGACTTCCTTTGAGAGTCAAAACCAGGTAGCCTGTATGGACAGACTATAAGAGTGGTTCCAGCAGTTAAAAGTATAAGTATAAACAAAATCTTTTCTTCATAAGAAATACATTGAGATTTTGATGGCCTGTGGGGCAAAGCCCGAGGACTTTTATGACAGGAATTGGTGAAAGGGGGCATCTACACAAACAATACTTCATTTTGACACATCGTTTGTAAAAATCCGTCCAATATTAACGGAGGAGTAGTGTTTCGTAGAAATCGCCTCAACGTATTATGTATAAGGATTTAAACCACTATTATATTATTCTTTTCACTCACTAACCCATGTTTATATGGGGTTGATTAGTTTAGATTAGGATATCAATAATACACGAAACAATGTTCAATATATTTATTACATCGAGTATCAGAACATTAACATAAAAAATCAACTATCTACAAATATTTATTGAGCTAATTTAAAACAAATTAAACTTTGACAAAGACACAAATTAAAACCTTGAAGAGTTGACGATAATCGACTTGCCTTTAGACCCTGTTTCACTCAACTACAATATTCACTATTATTGTAGTTCCAAGTGGTTGTGAAGCAAAGGCATAGTGGTGAATTGAGAATAGACACTTGTACAAAACGTACTACAAAGATTACAGTTACACAAGGCACTTAGAAATATAAACAACACTATGATTTTTTCATGGATGGATGAAATAATTTGTATTGCGTCAGAAATTGTAAAATCAATCAGAACTTTTGAAAAAAATTAATCAAATTACAATTGAATAATGTTACAGTATTTATTTTATATAATGGAACATAATTCTAATTCCCTTTTTGTGATTAGTCAATAACAAAATTTTTTAAAGAATAAAGTAAACTCATGTTGTCGACAAACTGCATTAACTGCAGTTAATAAATAATCTTTAAAATTAACATCGATTTTGAAAAAGTCTACATCATCTTTGGCTTAGAGTAACAAACATGTCGTTTACGTGTTTATAAACCAAACCGATCTAGAAAACTTGACCAGGTTTACTCCACACTTAATAAAAGTAATACTATTTTTATCACAGTACAAATAAACATAAAAATGCAATCTCTATTGTTTTGAAACGGCAGCCGTTAAAAAAAATATACTAAATATCTTACATAGCCATAAGCTTTAACGGCCACCATTTCAATACAACGAGACCATATTGACTATTTACGAATCAAATTCTGTGTAGTAAATCTGTTCAGAGCGTTCTAGACCGAGTTGAATCTGATGAAACACTTACACATGTTACTAAATACTGTTAGAAATAAAGTTTAAACTAAGAAATTCCCTGCACGATGACTGTGATACAACTCGAGTCTGCGAGTGACCCGACGAGTTTAACTAACTTTTACAATCTTTCCGGCCCCGAAGTTGTGACACAAACATATCTGGCTTTTACTGCAAAAATAAATAAATTATTTCTTCTATAACGAAATAAACACTCTAAGTAAATAATATGTAAATCCTTAAAGT